GTAGGTGTCGACACCACAGTCCCCCAGTTTTTTAATGAGAAAGGGGTGAGAGACAGTGTCAAAGGCCTTTCTAAAGTCCAGAAAGACTAAGTCTACTGCTACCCCTGCATCCAAGGATTTTGTGACCTGGTCACGTGTTCATTTGAAGGTGCCATGAGATCTGAACCCCAGTCCTAACAATCACACCTCCTGCCATACGTGCATGGCAAGAGGTGCAATTTTGGGATTGGGGATCAAATCCCGATCACGTTCTTTCTACTTGCTAGTGCAAGGGGAACACACAATCATGATCCCAGGCTCTCCCTGCACCAGCAAGTTGAAAGCTGAATGCCTATAGATCTGGGGCTGGAACAAACAGATTGTTGGCCCTGGCCCTGCTGTATGTTCAATTTAAGATACCATACAAACCAGCCATAAAAATGTTCTGTGTCATATGTAGAAGATTTGTGCCTTGCATTTAGTGTATGTTTAGTGCCCTTGCCATTTATGCTGCAATTAATGTATTAATCAGGGCAGATTGTAATGTGTACAGGGAGCCTCAGGCACATGTTTTATTCAGGTGCTTTTATAGTAAAAGATGTGAGTAAGAGATGGAAGTAAAAAGTGCAAGGAAGAGAATATAAGTCTTAGAAGCTATTGTAAATAGTTATGTTGCTGATTGGCCATTGGACTCGCATGCAGTGTTCCACTGAACCATAAGGGTTTCCCTCTGAAATGACTGCAAGTTTAGGGCTCTGCAATCCAAGTTGAGATTAAAACAGCCTGTAGTATGGAAGGTTGGTTGTTTTAAAATACCTCCTTAATTTTTAGTTTCAAAACACATTGCCAATTGCTATGTATCGTACTGTTTTTAGAAACAGCAAGGAAGTTCATAACTATAATGTGTGAAACACAGAAAGTGCTTTTCAAAGAGACTACTTTCTATCCTTCATAGATTCGTGTTCTTTTTGAATTCCTGCAATCTGGAAATCAAAGATCTTAAAATCAATTCAGTTGCCTTGTGTGTGTCTAGCTGTCCACAAGAGCAACTTAACTCTTTGGAAGACATCCAACTTTTTGCAAAGAACAATGGTATGTAGTAAAGAATTAAGAAGTTTTCATCTTGGAAATATACACCAGTTTGAAATGTTATGCTCAGTGTTTGCTTCCTTACTATTAATTTCTTTGTTCAATCAATAAACTGAAAACATTTTCTAGTTCATGTCCTGTTTAAAAGATGCATTTAGCAGAAGTGTGATCACTTGTCTCCTTTGTCCCACATCAGACATAATGGGCCTAGTTTTCAGAGGCCGAAGTTTGTGATAAAGTGTTTGATTTTATTTCGATATTCTAAATTAGGATATTATGACAAGTAGTAATTGTTTCCTATATTTAAATTCTGAAAAGGAGTACAAGTGTTGCCACTGCTTCTTTACAATCTAATACCTCTGTTATGCATTTTTGCAACTGATACAGGTGTGCACTGCAATTGGGAGCATAGTGTAGAAATACCTGAGCTAGTTTGGGTACTGGAAGCTGCTTAACTGCAGAAAGCAGCTAAGCTCATGAAGCCCACACTGAATTTCATGCTACAGCAGCTAAATTGTTCCTAGTACCTTTGCTGGCTCATATACAGCTAGCTTGGGGTTCTGTACTTTGCCCTGTAGTCAGCAGTGCAAACATAACACTGAGACATAGAAATACCAGCCTCTCATCCAGTGTAAAGAAGGCAAAGATGTGAGAACTTTGAAATGCTCATTAGAGAACACTAGTAGGTACAAATGAGAAACCATTTAAATGCTAGTCCACAGCATTTGGAGGGGTGGGATGGAGCCCAGAGGCGGATTTCTGTGGGCATGAGGCAGGGAAGCTCTGATTCTGAATCAGTTCATTTTTTATAATAAATCCAACAGACTGGCCAATGCTTCATGCTGAATAGAGTGGTAGGCATTTGGCAGGCAGTTGCTGGTTTCTGAAGCTCGTTCTTTCAGTTTTTCTGTTTTGGTTAGCAAGAATGGCTGCTTAGGGTTTGGGGAGGGGGTAACCTCATTTTGTAATTTTTTTTTCATTATTTGATGTCCTGTTATGTTACATAATGAGCTGCTTATGCCTATGTTCCTGTTTAAACACCTCAGCATGACCAGATTATGTACCTAAAACTCCAACCAAATACTTAAACTGTCCTGGGAGAATATTTTAAGATCTAAAGATGTATCTTAGTATGGCTAGCATCGTATTTGATATATTTGTTAAAACACACAAATATAAACACATTAAAATGTGCTGACTAAAGCATACTGCATTGCACAAGAATGTTAAACCAGTGATTGATTTCAGCAGCATCTTAAGCACTAACGTTAGTTATATATTTTAAATATTGTTTTGGTGAGAAACAGATTTTGACCAATAATGAGTTATCATCCTTGGGAATTTTGTTCTCTTAGATTCTTGCCTTTGTGTTTATAACTTGAATGTTTCCAGTTATACACTAAATCCAAAAGCAGCTGAGCTGTGCCCCACACTACCAGTTCCACCAAGGTAAGAAATACTGTTTATTTTATAGCCCCCTCTACACAAAGACAAGTTTTCAAGGACTGAAAGTCCTTCACATTTTGTATTTGACCTAGTATGTTACCAGTATTATTTTACTTTATTTAATATTCTTGGGTTTATGCTTATACGTTTGTGCGTGTGCTCTTGCATGTGCAAAAACACGCTGTTCTCCTGTTCCTTGGGCTGAGGAACCAACTCAGTAGGAGGCTTAAGTACATGCTTACTTTTAATCTCATTGCCCCTGGAAGGCAGAATTGGACATTTGATGTTTACAAAGTTATATAGCTGCTTCACTGCACAAAAGCAAGTACTTGGGAGTTGTATGAAGAAAAATGGCCTATGGACAGTGTATGAATGTTACATAACATGGATTGCAAATAGCAGATATTACATTTGCATTGTTGATCATTCTTATTTTCTTTCTGTATTAATGAATGTTTCAAAAGTAGGTTTTATTACATACAAGAGATTCCACAGTAAAAGCAAAACTAGTCAAAGCAGTTTTCCTAATTCAGTTGTTTGCATATTAGAGACATGCTGTACTGATTGATTAGTCTGACTTTTTCAAATAGAAATGAGAGTTTGTTTGCAATCTGAAAACCTTCCTGTTGACTGCATGTGGCAATGCCAAAAGCAGTCGGTTAAGACGCTTAGCTAACATTACCAAATAATGTTATTTTTTTATACGGAAGTATTTGATTGGGTTAATTGTACTGAGCACCTTGTAAAACTGATCACAACAGATTATTAAAAATGTTTCAGTGTACTAAACATAAGTTTGTGTGAATTAGAAATGTCTACTAATAATAATACTTGTATAGTCTACCGCCAAATCAACTATTGTTTTGATTTTACCTGTCCTTGTAAATAAAGCAAAACAAGACAGGATGGTATTTGAATAGAAGACCATGAATTAAATTTGAGGTGCTACAGAGTGTCCCCCAGGTAATTCAGTAAGTGGTGTTTTGACTTGGTACTAGCTGAAAAGAAGTGTCCTAACACAGTGTCAATGTCACTATATTATTAGAACCACATTTTCCAATGAAAAATAAAATCCAACATCCTGACCATTTGTGGTCATTCAGGATTTCATGGTTCCTTTCCTAAGAGTAAGAGTGATGGTCACAATGATCTAGTCAAATTCCAGCTTGGCTGCATATGCTATACCTATATAAGTCCCTCCTGCAGTTTTGATCAGATACAGAGAGAATCACTTTGGGCACATCTACATGTGTAATTAATGCACAGCAATAAACTACAACTCGTATCATGCCGGAGTTTATTACTTCTGGGCGCCATGTTTGTGTATGCTCCCAGGACCGCAGCACATTGAGCTGGGTCAGAGCAGCCCTGACTGGCAGAGGGCACAGCAGTCAGCCCACCAGTCCAGGGCTGCTCCAACTTGGCTCAGTGTGTTGCGGAGGGGCTGGCTGGGACATGAGGGTGCTCCAGTTTGGGGCTAGTTGGCAGGCAGCCCCTGCGCTGAAGCACCCTTGTGCCTCAGCCAGCCACATCAGCACCTACATGTGTGTTGCTGCAGAGTAAAAAAAACCTCTACTGTAGGATAGTACTTGTCTTTACAAGTACTAGTTTACTCCATCCTAATAGCACTGCACATGTAGATGCTGAGACATTTACTGCAGAGCTAATTAAGCAACCCTGCAGTAAGTTTCTCGCATAGATATATCCTTTCTGTTCTAAACTGTGTGCACTTTGCTGTGGTCTGGGGAGCTGCTGCTTAATTTTACTCCAAAGGTGGCTGTAGGTTACTAAGTGGGCGAAGTGGTTTCTGTGTGTTTTGGTTTAAATCTTGGAACATGCTCTGGGGCAATAAACCTAAAATTCAGACTAATAGTGCAAACTTGCCACAAACAAAAGCTGCTTACATTCTTTTTTTTTCTGCATTTAGGTCATAGAAAGGAATTATAACAATATTTATTTAATTTGTATTAAAAATATAATGTTACATTTAACAGGGGGTTGATGGGGAATTATCCTTGTATTGGGCTGTGAGATTGATCTCTCAGTGGAGAATCCCTTATCTTGTTTCTCTCTTTCATCTTCCAGCAAATCCTTCCCATTGTTTAATCGATGTGTTCCACAAAACCCTGAATGCTATTCACAGTTTGCATCTGTCTTGATAAATGTAATCAATGGAGTGGACATTTTTCATCACATTCTTAGTGGAATAATGGCAGGAAGAGATATTATAATAGGACTGAGTGTCCTTGCACTAGGTAACAATATGAAAAATAGTTTATTTTAATATGTTAAATTAAAAAATATTAGAATATCGTATTTCAAAGCATTGTGGAGTAACAACTTCATTTTTAAAAAATATAATAAGAAAAAAAGATTTTATATTTGTTGCACAGACAAGTTTTCTTTGTTAAAGGAAGAGAATTGCTGTTTGCCTTTGTAAAGCATTTAGGGTACATCCCCATGAGTGGGAATGTGGAGTTTTCAGGGGACAAATAGCAGCGACATGTATTTGTGCCACTGCTGTTTGTCCTCAGATGCAACTCTGCACGCGCACTGTGGCAGATTACCCCGGCTGGGATAGGAGAGGCAGGGGCCAGCATCTGGGCTGGCCCCAGCAGCCTTACCTGGGGTCCTGAGCCTCCTGGGGCAGCAGCAAGGGCAATCTGGCTACTTGGTGTCTGGCTGGCAGGCAGAGCATGGCTCTGCCTGGCCAGGCTTCCTTTCTGGCAGCACACGCTGCTGCCGTGTATACCATGCCACTTGTTGCAGCAGTTTGTTTTTGTTTTCTTTACACCAGGATCTCCTGGTGTCAAAAACACCACACTGCTAATTAGTAGTGCAGTGAATATGTGCACCACATGTTTGCAGTGCTGCAAAAGGGTTTGTGGCACTGCAAACCACACACGCACGCTTGTGGGGATGCGCCCTTAGCGTACAGGTTAAATATATTTCTAGAGAACTGTGGGGACGTGTCTCATTCTGCATCATTTACTTATTTTTATCTAGTTCTATTAGAAACTATTGATAAAATTGTGATAAAAGAAAAATGTATCCTAGCTTGAGGCATTTTGTTAAAGGGGCAGGGGTGTGGGGAGAGAATGATGCAATTCCATAGCATTCAAATCCTGGAAACTATAGTAAGTCCTAGTTAATGCACCACTCAAAATGGACTGCATAGTGGATTATCCAGTGGTGACCAATCATCAGAAGCTAATAATTGGGGGTGGAAAGAAAGGTAGGAGGCTAATGAGGAATGTGAATAATGGCAATTAAATCATAGAGATAAATTAACCCATAACCAAATGTAATTAGTTTACTATTGTTTGATTAATGCAGTAGAATTTTTTTTATAATCTCAGGATTTCAAAGTTTACAAAATTTAAATAGTAAGCTAATATGAATAAGTATAGATCATCTGAAATTCAAAAAATCAGTTTGCTGCTAAGTTAGCATGAATATATTATTTTTTATTTTCAGCTTTCTCTCTGATAATGGTTTTAACCTTCAAATTCATCACTACACTTTTGGTCCATATTTTCATTACACTGGTTGTGTTTGGATTGTTATGTAAGTATAGTTGACTTAATTTTTTTCCTGCAGTCCAGTGAAACTATATAGACAGGGGGAGAAGGAAAGAGAAGAGAAAAACCCATAAAACCTCTGTTTTCTCAGGTATCTTTAGTAAGTTAAAATAAGCCAAGATCCTGCAGTCTGACCCATGATGGAACTTTGGCCTCCATATGGGTGCAAAGATCTGGTAATGTAGATCCAGCTATAGAATAACAATGTTGGGTCATTGTGCGGTTTTAAAGAAATCGTTTCTAGACATTTGGATATGGGCAATGCTACTGTTTCCAGAAAATTAAGTATAACATTTTGTACTTTATAAGGAAAAAGTATAAAGGATGAGTCAAAGTTAGGTTTATCTCTTTCAACAAGTTTTGTAACTTCAAAGTTGCACCTTCAAAAAGCAACAAGACAAACTTCATAATTGATGTTGAATTCAGAATAGCAAACTAGCATGTCGTTTTTCACATTGTAACCTAAAGTCCTCCATTCTATCCCATTCTACTACATTTCTTCATTTTCACCTAAATTCAAGAGGGGAAGGGCAACAGAACCATAAGATGTGCTGTGTATAACTGTGACTTGCCTTTAATGTTAACATTTAGCTCCTTGTGAAGTATTACCTGCATCTTTATGCATCTGTACTTGTTCTAGTTGTTTCAGGTGTTCTCTGGTGGTTGTATTATGATTATACTAACAGCTCCAGCATAGAACTGGAAACTGAAAAGGAAAATGTGAAGTTTTTACTTGGATTTGCTGTTTTATCTACAGTGATTAAGGTAAGAAACTTCACAGAATAACCATTAGAGAGCATGGAATCTCAGATCTTGGAACGAGGTTATGTGTGTGTCAGCCTTATTGCAAAGTGCCATGTTTGCTCCATTTCCAAAACCAGATGTAGCATGATTGCTGTAGTAAAGCCCTACACATGGCCCAGTAAGCTCTGCCTTTCATCTCTGCTCTTCTCAGCAAAACTTATGGGCAGGTAATCGGACAGCATAAGCACACATTATAGTAACAACCATGTAAGGGCACATGTTTTATTCAAACTTGAAATTGGATCCTCGAGGAGTTTCCTTGAGGCTGTAGGAGTAATACCACCTTGAAGTGAGAGTTTATCTTTTCATGGGTTACAGTCTGGTGCATTCTGCCTTCCTTCTGCAGCCAAATCAATCAGCTTACACTTATTAAGCCTTTCTTTATTTTTATGGTAAATTTCATCTGCATTATGGAAGGTCAGTGCAAGGTCCTCCACAACATCTAAACTCATGCTAGAGCCATTTGATGAGCATACTACAGCACTGGTGCAGGAGAATGAACAGGACCTAGATCAATATAAATGTGAATTAGTGGACTAAAAAAAACACTGCAAGAAACGCAAAGGAATTGTAGGGGAAAGGAAGGATACCTGCTGCAGTCACAGCATGTCCTGGCCTCAGGTTGTGACTGACTAACACCAAACTCCTGTTTCCAACACAGGGCCAAACTACCATGACTAAGTTGTTGAAGGGAACTTTTCACCTTTATTTATTTATCTGATTGTATATGCTGCCTTTCCCAGCAAGGGCTCAGAGCTGCTTAACATAAGAGAACAGAATAACTTCTAAAACAGGAAAGCAACAAGAACAAAACTTAAAAGGAACTAGAATATTGATATAAAACAGAGCCCTCCCCCCACAACCAATGTCTCATTGTAGCTTTGTGTGCTAACCACCTACCTAAATAGGAAGGTCTTGCAATACTTGGACTCTGGCAGGCCTCAGCTGAGGAACAACAACTGAGGATGACCTCCCACAGACTTTTGCCAAGTGGACCCAGTATACTTACAGTACTCGCTAGGAGGTTGCTTTTGGCTGAACTTGGGGATCACTGTGGGGCATAAAGCAGTTGGGAACCACTGCAGACTTTGGAGCACTGGAATTATGTGCTTCTGGCAACCCAAGCACATCAGAAGGTAGGCCGCCACTTTCTGTTCCAGCTGCAGCTTCTGGATGATTTTCAAGGGCAGTCTTGCATGGAGCACATTACAGTAGCCTAGCATCAAGGTTACGCAGGCATAGATGGTGGTGAGCAGATCTGAATCTGAAAGAAAAGGTCATATGCTTCTGACCAGATGGAGCTGGTGAAGGCCGCTTCTACCCACTGCTGCCAACTGGACAAACAAGTGCAGCACGCAATCCAAGAGTATTCAAGGCTACAAACCTGAGTGATGAGGAGAAGCTGCCCCATCAGTGATAGGTGTCTTAATGCCCCGCCCAAGTCGAGCAGTCTGCCCACCACCATGTCTTGTCTGGATTCAGCTTCAGGTGACTCACCCACATTGAGTCCTCAGCTGGAGCTAGGCACTGGGAAAGGATTGAGACTGTAGGGCCAGGGTCAGGACAGGAGATGTAGACCTGGGTGTCAGTTTGCACTTCGCATCAAGTCTCCACACTGTCTTGCCTAGTGGCCTCATATACCCACTATGTCATTGCCCACTATGTGTTCACCAATAGCTTGTTGCATGGGAATTAAGTCACAAGTCTATTAATGTTGGTTCTGTAAAACAAAATGCAATTCATACAATACACGTGCTTGTATGTTCTCTTTACAATACAAACACTGGGCTCTGAATAATTCCTTTGGAAATAAAATAATAGGAAAAGTTTTGTTTGGATGCAAATTTATTCCAGTACAATCCACTGTCATTTGTAATGCTCTGGAAACATCCACTGCTCCAGGTTGCTTTTCTTAATAGAGCATCTGGTTTCTTTATTGTGCAAGCTAGAAAAGTAGGGAAGCAGCTGCCACTGTTTGTGTTCATTGTTTTATAGTTTCCAGTGTGCTCTGTGCCTGTTTAGATGTTGTTTACAGTTCCTTGTTAAAGATCAAGGGCATAGGAAGTTTTATTGAAAGCAAGTTATTTCTTCAAACAAGGAGCAATTTTCTGTGCATATATCTGCATGCATATAACTGACAAATCAATTTCCAATGACTCCTCCAGTGCTTCCCAATGTAAGGCCTGATCCTGCTTCCACTGAAAACAACAGCAAAACTCTCAGCTAGCCTAATTAGAAGTGAGATTAAAGCCAGTGTAGGGCTTAAAAATCCATTCAGCTTTCCTGGTGTCTTTAAAAAAACCATTTTAATGCACGCTGCTTTATGGAAAAATGTTCTCCTGCAGTGCCTCCTCAGAATCTGTAACACCCCGTACCCCTCTCCCAAAATTGAAGAACTTGTAATAATTTAAAAAAAAATAAGTAGAGAATTGTTTTTCCTTGCTTTCTCCAGGTTGTTCTACTTGTCCTCATATTTGTACTAAGAAAGAGGATTCAGCTGACTATACAGCTCTTCCAGGTTGCAAGTAAAATAATTACCAAGATCCCTTTTCTGCTGTTCCAGCCATTTTGGACCTTTCTGATTCTCATTTTCTTCTGGGTATTCTGGGTTGCTGTGCTACTTAGCTTAGGAACTGCAGGTAAGCATCTTCAGTTTTCAGTAGTCCTGGATGTATACTAGGCAGGGCTTTTTTTTAAAACTTTTCAGGATCTATTGGTGTTAGTATTTAAAATGTGCTATATCTTGTATTATAGCAGCACTGCAGTAATGTTTTCCCTTTACTGAATCTGTGTCCTAGATGTCTCCTACTGCAAAATTAACTGTTGTTTTGCAGGGCAGAGAGAGTAAAAAATGTTACAAAGGAGAGAAACGTTAATACTCTTCACAGAGACTTCACTTTTTTCTTTCTGGATTTAGTTGAAATTGGAATAATGTTTTAGATTATTGAAACAAAATGCATGCTTGCTGTCTGTAAATGAAGAGTATAAGAGAAAGGAAGAGAGTTTAGATTTAAAGCACTTGTTATGAAACAGGTGATTTCCATTATGGGAACAGCAAGAAAGTAGGTCCCATTGTGCCCCACCCCCTCTTCCCTCCACGCAAACGCATGCACAGTGTAGAAGGAGTTAAATTGCTTTGGAGAACATTGCTGTGAGAATTTCTGAAATGGTATCTGGCAGGGGACTCAGTAGCTAGGTTTCTCCTAAGCTGTACTCATCACTGTCATGCAGGTGCATGACATGCCTCTGCTGTACAGGGGCATTTTCTACAGCAGAAAACATTTACTTTCAGGGAACCTTCGAGCCCCTCTCCCTGTCCTGCTCTCTAGTTGTGCACATGCTCACTCTCTCATATGTAGTTAATGTAAAGAGGTAAAAATGATGGATGTGAGAATGAATTAAGAGGAGGAGAGTAAAATTGAATATATAAACAAAGAGGGAAATGAGAGTGAGACATGGAGCTCATAGATCTTAAGCTTAGGCAGTTGTTGCATGTACCAAAAGACATTGCTCATGAAGTATTCATAGATGAAGACTTAAAAGCAAAGGGTGTGGTATGGGAATTGAGGTGAAATAAAAAAAATATCTCTCCTCCAACTACAAGCAAACCACATCAATATACTTTTCATTTCTAAATCTCAGCCAAATATGTCCCAGACTGGTAGAGACTAAAAAGACATCCTCATCATATGGGGGTATAAGTAAAACAAGATGGTGGTCTCAGCAGAAAACAGCGGATAAGTGTGCATTAGAAGTATATATTGCTGTTGCTATACATTCTTGGTAGAAGAGCCAGGAACAGGGAGTTCCCTTCTCCCTTCATTCCCCCATAAGGGCTGAGATGCCATTGATGTGGCAGTGGGGAATCTTGAACTGTTATTGTTTGTAATGTACTTATTCTGAGGATAAAAGGCTTTGCATTCCTATGCTATAGAGCCAGCAAGTTCCAGGAGCATAGTGTAGCATTTTAATAAGAGCAACACAAAAATATTCACAGTTGACTATGTAGCCAGTTTATTCAATGTGTATATAGCTCCCATTTCCAGGCAAATAAAGAATGAATACATCTTGACTGAACAAGACTAGCCAAGTGTCTAGAGCATTTCTTTTACTTTTCTTCTTTTCCTTTTAAAATATCACTGCAAATGTATTGGCTCTGGCTTAGACAGTAATGAAGGTAAAAAATAAATAGTGGATATACAACCTGAGGATACAGGAAGAAATGTTTAGATGACATACAAAGGTGAACTACAAAGGTGAAAACAAACAGTTAAACCAAGAGATGGAGATTAAGTCTGCCAGAGGCACAGATGCAATAAACCACCTGCAGAGATGTTGATATTTTCGAGGGATGACACTGGTGCTACATTATGAGACTGTAGTTATTTTGGCTGATATAACACAAACAGGTTTATCTTACTGGGCAATTGTGTCCTGTTCCAGGCTTTACAATGAAGTTAGAGAACATACTATGTAGATAAGAATTTGTTATGATAAAAAATCATAAAGGAATGAACATGGAAGCATTACTTGAAGCAATGCATTATGAGATTCTCACGTCCAGAGCCACCTAAAACAGGGAAGGTTCCCCAATAGGAGGCCACCATATTGGAGGACAGGTTGGCCTCCTCTGAAATGTCAAGAAAGGAGGCTAGTATAAATGGAAATATCTAACCTCACAAGGAGAAGTCTCATAAAAATAGCCATATAGGTTGCTGGTAGATGTTATGATTGATTGTCATTTTTTTTAAAAAGGGTATTTTAAATTCCTAGGATCTGCTAGTTATTGTTTTGTGGGGTGGAATTGATGAAGGATGAGAGAGAGTAGGAACACATTATGCTTTCTCACAGAGACCTTGTTTTTGGTTGCATGTATTAAGGGAAAAAAGATGACGTAACTCATTTGGGCTATGAGGGTGCACTTGCTGTTTGCATAATGGAAGAACAGAACACCAACATACTTGGCTGTGACTTATGAATATCTCATTATCCCTCTCAAATTCTTTGTCATATGAGTTGTACATGCTTTTTAGAGCCCCTCATTTGTTTTGGCATCACTAAAACACTAATCACTTTTTTTAAAGCATTGGCCTCAGTTGACATTTTCCAAATTTAGATTTAATAAAACAAAATTTCATCCAATCATCTTTATTGTTACTAAAGTGTCCCTGTGAAAATTATTTTGCATATTGGGCATTTCCTGACATTCAACTCTGCATAAATATTTACGAATTCTTTGGCATTTCTTATAGCATTTATGGCCACTAATATTTCAAAACTAGCACACTGAGATTAATGATACCTAATTTTACTACAGTTACTGTAATCTTTGCAGTACCTGAAGGGTAGATCCAACTGCAAATCCAGTAAAGTTATTCAGCAAAACTTACATAAGGAGCAATTCTTCTTACCCTTGAAATGAGTAGTTACCTCTCTGTCTTTTCTTCATAGTCTATATCCAAACTGCTGTTGGATGAAGGGAACTTGCAGACTGACTAACAAAAGTCCCGATAGCTTCTTGGAAGATATCACAGTTCAGTACAGACTGGTCCCGATTCTGAAAGACATGCCACTAATTCCTCACTAGCAGAATGCTGTGTTTGGAACTAATAGGTAGGGACCGCTGTAATTTGGGCATCAGGGGATTTCAGAGGAAAGCCTGAAATTTAATTTTTCCCTTTAAAGCCCCATAAAACTGCAATCTGGCCAGAAATGGCCTGAAACTTCTGGGGAGAGGGAGGGCGAGAAAAACAGTTTACAAAAAATTTTACTGGAAGCATGGAGAAGAAAGGCAGAAGAGCCTCAGAAACATTGTAGAAGCTCCATGTGTTTCCAAGGACAGCCTAGTACAGGCTGAGCTCCTGCTGGGGCTCAGCCACTTAGGTTGTTCAATTCTCCGCTTTGTCAGGGAGTTTAAAAGCCCTGTCCAGAACGGAGCAGATAAGTACCCCTTGCATTAGGGGCTGTGGGCATAGGTAACAGCCTGTGTGCCACGGTTTAGTAATAATCATCCCCATGGCAGGCTCCCTCAGCCAAAGGCGTGGGAGAGTTGGTCCTGAAAAATGCCTGAAATTGGCTCTGGCAAGCCGCAGGGAGCCTGCTTTTCTTCCAATCAGAGCCTAAATTACAGGGTCCCTATTAATAGGACACCTGTGGTCATGACCTGAAGAAAAAAAAGCAAGTAATAGGATAAGAGAAGTAGGCTGAAAAAGTATCTATGATGTCCATAAAGCAAAGCAAATCTGTTCCAGGAAGGCCAGTATTCAGTAAGCAGGAGGGACTAATGAAGAGGTAAAGTGGGCTGAAAATGTGGCCTCTAAATCAAGCAGCTTTGAAGGAGCAGGTGTTTCTGAAATTCCTCACCATCTAGGGGAGGGGGTGAAAAGAAGGGGAGAAAAAGAGACCTTTCATAAACCCACTGGGTGGGCTCCCCATCAAAAGTTGGGATGAGAGAATCCCTTTTCTACCTCTCTAGACCAGTGGTTTTTAACCTGTGGTCCATGGGCGTCTGGGGGTCTTCAGACCCTATCTAAGGGGTCCATGAAAGATGATTATGAACAATGAAAAGTATGTGAATACTGATACTTACAATTCAATGAGGTCTGTGCCACCATTAAAAAATTTTAGAGGTCCTCAGATGAAAAAAGCTTGGAAACCACTGCTCTAAACTATTAATTTTGAGTGGAAAGGCAGTTTCCTGACCACTCACCAAAACAAGTTGGCTTAGGATATGTCCATTTTCCTCCTAGAACCACAGCATTACAGCCACTGGCCTCAGGGGACGGGGGAAGCAGAAGAGAAGGTGATTCCGGTGTTTTGCTAGAGACTTTACAGAGGAGCCGAAAAAGGTTAATCATGGTTGAAAGAGTAAAGTTTGTTATGTGAATATGGAAACAAATCCCAAAGAGATGCTTTTGCTTTTGCACAATTTTTCCTCTCTGAAAACACTTTGTCTTCTGCTAGCCATTCCTCTAAGCATTTTTTCTGTCTTGTGGAGTAAATGTCAAGCAGTGGGTGTATATTGTAAAGTCCCTTACACAGCAGAAAACTCATGGTTAAAGAAGTCTTATATTTTTGTCACTCTTAACATAGATGAGAAGGCCAGTGTTTCTTTATAGACACTTTCCAAAGTAAGGTGTCTTACAGAAGGCCATATGATCTCACTGCATAGTAGTAATGTCATGTTTTATGATAACCTTAGTCATGAAGGAATCAGATACGTCAGTTTTAGCACAGGCAAGAACATCAGTCAGTGGGCATCAAGTCAGTGTAGTCTGAGGATGTAGAATTTAATACTGTTTTTATTAAGATCTAGTACAGGGCTGTTAGCATAGTTGCCAATAGTTGTAAGTTTCAAGCCTTTAGCCACTTACACATTCTCACTATAAAATGAATACTTATTTTGTTTTTACAAGTGACTACACACACATTAGTGCAGGTACAAAATAATTGGTGTTTCATTTTTCCAAATCGCAAATCACTTTTTAATTAGGCTTTGTTTTTCTTCTCTTCACATCATTACAGTACAGTACATAAGGTCAGACAATGGCTGTTAATGATTCTGATGAAAGCAAAGTAGGCTGTTGCCACAAAAGCTTATGCCTCTCTGAATGAGTTCGTCTCTAAGGTGCCATCCTGC